TATACCCTGCGCTACTGGTGTAGGAAGAAAGTGTCTGGTTTATACATCGCTGTAGCGTGAACATTTTGCATTTTCATGAGAGATGTACCCATGACCAGACCAAGCACAACGAACATGATGACCAGGCATGACCAGACCAAGCGCAACCAGCACGACAAGCATGACCAGATCAAGCACAACTAAACATTAATGACCAAGCACAACCAGCAAGACCAAGACCAGGCCAAGCACAACCAAGCATGATGACCAAGCATGACAGCATGAGCAGAACGACCAGCAAGTGTTTTTTCTACAAATGCTCTAGCCACTACCATTCAGGATGTCCGAATGTTAAGTTGTACTATTTAAATAAGTGCTTCAAATGCCTTGGATCGGACATTATGTGGAAGATTGTAATAAGCTGAGGAAGAAGAAAGACGACATTTTTAAAGATAGCTTCCTATATTAAATTAAATAAAGATAACAAAAGAAATTATATAAAGCCTTTTTTGTTTTTATTTAATATATTGATATTACATTGACTGTAAAGTTTCATAAATTCTTTTGCTCTTTTTTTGATCGCTGAGCTATAGTCATTGTTTTCATTCGATTCAAAGAGCAGAGTTTCTTCAGCATCACTATCTATATCCATGCTATTTGGATTTTCATCATCTGTATTATTGTTATCGCCAGAATCTGGATCATGATCTACTAATAACAAATTTTCATTAATGGATGGTGCGGAAGAAGAAAAAGAAGATTTGTTAAGTAATGATTCGTTGTGTTCATTGTTATTTTCTTTGTTTAATTTTGATTGTTCTATATAATAAGATTTTTCAAAAATAGGACTTCACGTGATTTTGGTTTTCTTACTGCCAAATTTAGATACGATAGTCAAGATCTGGTTTAAATTTGGTAATACTTTTCCTAAATTTAGAAATGATCATAGTAAAGTACATGTTTTAAAAAAGAATAGAACTCTACAACAAATAATTTTTTTGAGAAAATCTCTCTATTACAT